GGGTGGGGGGGTGGGTGTGTGGGGGTATGTCTGAGGGTGAATGTGTGTGGGGGGTATCTGAGGGGTGAGTGTGTGGGAGGGTGTGTGTGAAGGGTGTGTGGGGGTGTGTCTGAGGGGTGAGTGTGTGCTGGGTGTGTCTCAGGGTAAGCGTGTGGGGGTGTCTCAGGGTGAGTGTGGGTGTGTGTCTGAAGGGTGAGTGTGTGGGAGGGTCTGAGGGGTGAGTGTGTGGGGGTATGTCTGAGGGTGAATGTGTGTGGGGGTGTCTGAAGGGTGAGTGTGTGGGAGGGTCTGAGGGGTGAGTGTGTGGGGATATGTCTGAGGGTGAATGTGTGTGTGGGGTGTCTGAAGGGTGAGTGTGTGGGAGGGTCTGAGGGGTGAGTGTGTGGGGGTGTGTCTGAGGGGTGAGTGTGTGCTGGGGTGTGTGTGTGGGGGGGAGTCTGTGCTGGGATGTGTCTGAAGGGTGAGTGTGTGGGAGGGTCTGAGGGGTGAGTGTGTGGGAGGGTCTGAGGGGTGAGTGTGTGGGAGGGTCTGAGGGGTGAGTGTGTGGGGGTATGTCTGAGGGGTGAATGTGTGTGGGGGGTGTCTGAGGGGTGAGCGTGTGCTGGGGTGTGTCTGAAGGGTGAGTGTGTGGGTGTGTGTCTGAGGGATAAGGAGAGGTGTCTGAGGGGCAAGCGTGTGTGGGGCTGTCTGAGGGGTGAGCATGTGTTGGGGTATGTCTAAAGGGTGAGTGTGGGGACGTGTCGGTCAGGGTGTGCTGGGGTATGTCTGAGGGGTGAGCGTGTGCTGGGATGTGTCTGAGGGGTGAGCGTGTGCTGGGGTGTGTCTGGGCAGGGGCAGGTGGAGGACTGAATTCTAAAAGATGCTACCAGCACGGCATGAAAACCCAACCCAGCACGGAGTAATAAGTGTGGGGTCCTTCCAGTGTGTGCATTACTGAACTGGAGGGGATCACGGTGGGCCCCTTATTTACCAAATCCTTCTCCTTCTGTCTTCTAGTTGTTGGCTTATTAGCACTATCTTAAATGTCTCTTCTGCCTCACAGGGCCCAGACTGTGCCTCAAGATGAGGTGGAGGATGAACTGGAGGCTGGACAACTGGAGGTACAGGGCTCTACTCCCTTCTCTCGCTCACCTTATTCCATAAAGTGCCAACCTGCCTCACTGCTCTGCAGCAGGCTGGGAAATGATCAACTTCCTTCCTTCCTCCCTCTTGTGATCAAAGCACTGGCCCAGGCCACCTGGGTTCTAGTCACAGCTCTGCCACAGACCTTGGGCAAGCCACATCCCTGCTCTGTGCCTTGGTTTTCCCTCCTGGCCTTTGTCAGTGCTTGTGCGTTGGGCCTGTCTCTTGGCATATGTTGTACAGTGCCTGGCACAGTAGGGACTTGATATACTTTGGTTTTACTGTAACACACATAAACAGCAACCAAGTCTTTGCTAGGACCAGACTGTCCGCTGTTGTGGCGAAGTTTCCATTCGTGGCAGGGTGTAATTTGTGCATGAGCAGAGAAGAAACACTTTAACCTAAACTGTAATACATTGTGATGTGTGATAGACATTAACAAACAGAATCCCACATTACATTTAATTTAATTCCACTCTTCCCGCCCGGAGCTACAGCTCCCTTCATTTTCATTTTCCCTCTGAATTCCCACAACTCAGACCTCTTTGATTTCCAGGTTTAATTAACAATGCTCATTAAGTGAATTTTTATTCCTTTCTTTTAATATTACTCTGCCACCTGTCTTTAGGAGGCAAAGGCAGATCATTTATTCTAATTTATTTCTATTAAAGATGGCATTTAAGGGAAGGAAGAGGGATATGTAGAGGTGTAAAGGGCTGATCTATTCAAATGCTGTTCAAGTCCTCTCCCTGGGCCCTCCTTCCAAAAATGCTTTTCAAAGACGCTGCCCCTGAAAGTTTGTGGGAGCTGTATTTATTTTCCACCAGATCCGTTTCATTTGCTAAGAAAAATTGGATTGGACATGCTGTATTTTGCAGTTATGTTTCAGTTCATTCTTAAAGCCCCTTGCCCGTCTCAGCCGTATACTGTTGATCCTTTATTCGTCAGAAAGAGGCGAAACTGTGCAAAATGCTAGTAGTAAACACAGCTAACTCGCTTGCCCACAGGATCGCAACACAATGGGGGAGGCAGGGAGCTAAAAGCTGGGCACATCAGAGAGGAAGCTGTGAAAACAAAAACAAAAAGAAGCACAAAAAAGTGACCACGTTTTGACCAAATATTCCCTGTGAACTTGTTTCAGGACAAATCCCTCCAGCTGCCTGTGAGGACAAGTCTCAGCTTTGCATTCAGGTGTAAGCAGGTAGGAATTGCAGGGACGGATGCGACCCAGGGTCTATCCAGCCCAGGATCCTGCCTCCGACTGTGACCAATCCCAGCTGTGCTAGAGGAAGGTGCGATACATTTTGAAAGGGTGAGTGTGTGTTGATGCTTTGGGGATTAGGTGTTTGCTTTATCACAAGTACCTAGAAGTTCCAGTCATGGACCTAGACCCTGCGGTGTTAGGTGCTGTACAAACAGAGCAAAAAGCTATCCCCTGTCCCAAATGGCTCACAAT